TATTAATGACAGGGGACATGGTTTCATAAAAGTTGTTCAATGTCAACCAATATTTTTTGACTAGTTGTATATGAAAAGGGCTGCAATTGTTCCAAGTTTCACTACTGCAGCGTAAATAGAAAGGGAGATTTTTTATTTTTTTCAACGAATTTTACACATTTTCAAGTGTAAATAAACAAACACACCTTTCAGATATAATCATTCTATGACACTTTTCTGACACATTAACATATAATAAAGGATCCGGAGGTAGAGAGTTTCCAAAACATCTTTAGTTTTCCCTAATACAAATATTCAAAGTTCCCCCCCAAAAATTATGCAAATATGTCATGTTTATTGCCATTATAAAATCAATAAATGAACTTAGGAAAAAACGCTACCTAGGGATTTTAGAGACATAAACTTTACATACAAGGTGTAAGTTTCATGTAAATTGAATAAAAAATGAAAAGAGTTATTTGAATGTTTATGTTAGTTGAAAATATTAAAAATTAATAAGAAAATAATAAAGTCTAAGGGGCTGCCATCTGTGTCTCAGGTTGACATTAACCAGTTTTCTCCAAAATTGGCACCCTTTACAGATAGGCTTATGTGCAGTCAGGTGTATAAGTTTCATGCAAATCGTCCAATAAAAAAAAATCAAATTGAAAAAAATATATAAATTTTTTAACTTAAATTATTTTTCTAATAAAACTAATTATAATATTTTTTAATTTATGCTAGTGTGATAGCCGAGTCATAGATATTTTTTCAGTTGACACTTGTGTTTGATAATCATTTTTGACCATTTTGGAATAATTTTGACACCTACTTTACTATTTTTTTTCCCTTCCTATTTATGCTACAATGCTGAGACTTGGACCAGATGAAACCCTTTTCATATACAACTAGTCAAAAAAGTTTGATTGAAATTGAACTAGTTTTCATTTAATGCATTTTTTTTTGGAAATCTGGAGCCCTTGCCCCCCTTAATGACACTGTGATGCCTCACTACAGACAAGTGTTGCAAAGAAGGGAAAAACAATCTTCAATGGAATAATTTCTAGTGAGAAAATCAAGCAGTGAGCCAGAAGCAGGTCCTAGTGGTAAGCAGGTAAAATGTGCCAGTGTGTGTACTCCAGAGAAGTCCTCACTGCTTGATGTCATAATGAAAGGAGACTCCCCTTCCAAACAGTAACAGCTCTCCTCCCCCCCTTTCCTCATCACCATCTTCCATACGCCATCAAGAGTCCTCCATAAAGGTAAGATAAGCATATGTATTGTGTTTTAGAAAAAAAAATTGTATTCAGTATAAAATGTATTTTTAAGTTAATATTTTTGAGGGTGTGGAACGGATTAATTCAATTCCCTTTATTTCTTATGGGAAAAATCGTTTTGACTTACGATATTTCGATTTACGATATGTCTCTGGGAATGGATTACCATCGTAAATCGAGGCCCTACTGTATTGAATTTCAACGGCCACAGGATGGACAGGATTAAAGGACTCTAGAGCCACCGCAAGAGTCGACTACATCAACAAAGGAAGAATTACGGTGAGAGAGCAGTTGACAAAGAGCAAACAAAATTGCATAAAGTTCAGCCATGAAGATGCTAGTCTCCAGAGGCAGGCAACACATGTAGGTGCTGTCAGGAAACTCAATGCCGTAGCCAACACCGTCAGCAGACTTAAACCTATCTGTGAAGATGGAGACGGAGCGGGAGTGTGAAGAAAAGTGAGCAAGGAAAAGGCATCTCAGAACTGTACAAGGGGTAAAAGCCTTAGTCATGCAGGTCAAGGTTCTACAAAACTTAGGAAGAGGGACCCTCCATGGGGGAAAGGACAGAATGACAAGGAGAAACATTGGCAACACATACCGAGAGAGAACCTTGCAAGCGAGACAACCGTACAGAAAGGGGGAGGTGGTGAAAGGGAACAGGGCCCACAGGAGAGGTAATGGTCAAAGTACAACATAAGCGAGAGTTAGGGTGTTGAAGGGACCACACAAAGTAGCGATCATGCTGATCCTGTAGAGTCAGGATGCCGGTCTCAACATACAGTCTCTGGATAGGGGTCAAATGAAAGGCACTATTGCTAAGACAGAGCCCAGGATGGTGAAGAGCATCAAAACGACGAAGGGTGGAGGGAGAGGCAGACGAGTAAGCAGGACAGCCATAATCGAGTTTAGACAGCACCAGAGAGGAATGTAAAGAGTGGAGCATGCGCCTCTCAGCTCCCCAGGAAGTATGCGCCAAGACCTTAAGTAAGTCAAGGACCTAAGAGCATTCAGCTTAAAGGTAGGAGATATGTGGTGACCAGGACAAGCGAGTGTCAAAAGATAAACCCCAGAAGTTTAGCAGAATCCTTATACAAAAGAAGATTACCATAAAGCGACAGAGGGGGTCGAAGGATGACTTGCTTTCGAGTAAAGGACATAGCACAAGTCTTAGCCGGAGAGAACTTCAAGCCGTGATTGGTGGCCCAGGACGAAACGGCATCAATTGCAAGTTGAAGTCGCCATTGGAGGAAAGGCGAGTTATCACCTTGACAGCAAAGGGTATGATTGTCAACATAAAGAGCAGAGAAAATGTCAGAGGAAAGGGAGGAAAGAAGACAATTTAGGGCAACCAGGAAAAAAAAGAGTAGTGCTCAGAACACTAACTTGGGGCACACCTTCACACTGCCAAAAAGAGGCAGAGGGCGGTACCAATCCGCACTTGAAAGGAATGACAAGAGAGGAAGCTCTGGAGGAAGAGAGGAAGATTATCATGAAGGTCACAATAACAGAGTTGGGACAGAATACCTGTGTGGTATTGCCAGGTGGTGTCATGTGCCTTTTCCAGGTCAAAAAAGACAGCAACAACAGAGGTCTTCACAGCAAAGGCAGTACAAATGTAGACATTGTGAAGGAACATGAGGTCATTTCATGATAGGTAGATGCAGGAAACAATGGCTGGTTGCTGTGTGTCTCTACCTCATGCTGTGAATATTGTAACACTGTATTCGCTGATATATGAACATTGCACATAGTCTTTATCACAGTCAGCATCATCTATAACATTATCAATGCAAAATAATTACAGTTACCTATTTTATTCATCATTATTAAGTGGTGCTGTGGCCCCTAGCTGCACAGAAGTGCTGTGAGCTGCTGCATGCAGCAGCCTTGGTCGCTCTCTCAGTACTGAGGCTCTCGCAGCCAGTACAGCTACTGAAGATTTTTTTTTCAAGATGGTGTCTGTTTACTGGAGTCCAGAGGCACAGGATGTGGGCACCGTGTAGCTGTGGGAGTTTTGAATCGCTCCCCGTATCTAAAAAGCCATATGGCTCTCTGCGCACCCTCGATTGGGCACCTTAAGGTGCTCTGTGCAGTGCAGTGGTTAAATAAGTGTTTTATGAAGAAGTAGGCATAAAACTGACTTTTGAAGGTCTCTGGAAGCCAACAATTTTTTCCGTATGCCTTTATGTTTAATATGCATGGCTTTTTACTCACACTTTTTATAGGCACTTAATCCCGATACGAATTACCTGTTGCCCGCAATGTTAATACAGTACGTTTATACTACTTATGTGTGATCTGCCACAGTAGTGTGACTGCTCATTTTGTCTTGGTGCAATTGTCAAGGACATATTTTTGTTGTTTGCATAAATGCTCAGGAAAAGTTAATGTCAAAATGTTTCCAAAGTCAACTATTTCCCTTTCAGAACACAAAGAGTAATGAAAACATTAAAAAACATAAAAATATAGTCTAATTAAAAAACAAAACTCACAACTCTTAGAGCGCCAGTAGTGCAGTTTAATAAAACTTAAAAAAAACATATATGAAAAAGGCTTTTAAAAAAAAGAATTAAGAAAGAAAAATTAATAATTAAGAATTTAAGAAAAAGAATTACCACACAAAATGGTAATTTTTCTGAACAAATAACACGGCATCCTACACCAAAATATACAATCATTAGCATATTGATATCTTTACAATTCATAATAACAATGTGTTATACATGGCTGAGAAATGACTTTTTATCAATTATGAACTGCCGAGCAACACACTTATAGTAGAGCTATAAAGAACACTTGTATTCATATACAGTATGTCCACTCCTTTAACTCAAAAAACCTGATCAAATTCCAAAACAGCCTTTTAAAAGAAAAAATTCATCCTGAATCATTCGCACAACCAATATTAATTGAAATTACAGTAGTTATAATTTTCAAGTCCATAAGTTTTGTTAAGCAAGCTTCTGCACATGAAAGTGCAAACAGATACAGTACTCAGAATGAGGTATATACGGTGTTAATATGTACTACAAAAGAAGAGAACATACTGTATATTAAAGTACAGTGGAAACTCCAAAATCTGGATAACAACACTGCACATTGTTCTGAACTATATACAGTACTTAAATGCATGAAAACCTTTCTAGAAATTTGCCCTTTTTGGGATATTTATTACCAAATTTACCTGATTTTTCTTATAGGAAGTGATACAGTACATGATAAAGCATACAGTGGTACCTCCACTGGTAAATTCCTTTCGAATTTAATCCATTCCCAAACATGGGGCGTAACTTGAAACGAATTTCCCCATAAGAAATAATGTAAATTGAATTACTCCGTTGAACACTACCAAAAATATCAACTTCAAAATACATTTCATATATAATACCCACACACATTTTGTACTATAGTATGCACAAGTTATAGCTTACCTTTATTGATGACTCTTATTGGCATATGGAAGATGGTGAGGGAGAGGGGAGATGTGGTTAGGTGTTACTGTTTGAAAGGGGAGTCCCCTTCAATAATAACATCAGGCAGTGATGCCTTTTCTGGGGTACTCTCTACCCTATGTTTTGCAGGAATACCATTAGGACCTGGCTGTGGCTCACTGCTTGTTTGACACTTTAACACTTGTCTGTAGTGAGACATCACATTGTCATTCAAAAGGTCAATGCAACGGCCAGCTACAGCCTTACCTGAGCGAGTTTTTTCAACAAAACTGTGTAGTTCTTCCCATACTTCACACATTTTCTTAATGAGGAAGGGACATTCTCTACTGCCTCTACTCAACTATTTTCTTAGGTTGAACCTTACCACTGACTTTCTTGGGACCCATGGCATAATATATAATAATTACTTCTAAGCTCAAAAACCAAGAAAGCAGAAAAACAATGAAATTCTTTACAAAGAATTCAAGAGCGATTGTCACTAGGCGAGAGACACTGGTAAACTGAAGAGTGCCACACTCCCCGTCGACCCATACGTGTATCAACAAAGTCGCAAGTTGAGTCAAAGGTTGCACGTCAAGTCGAATTTTCCGATGAAATTGGGGTTGTAACTCAAAAAAGTTGTAAGTATGGGCACTCGTAAGTCAAGGTTCCACTGTATTTACAAACACAATATATAAATAATGGTTGTGTGCCTATAAATAATTATGCACGAAAAAATGCAAGAAATTTATTGGTCACTTAATTTTTTTAATAGCACAGGCAGGTCTTGATAACACAAGAGGCAGCAAAATGCACTTATAGTACTGATATGCCATCTATTAAACTTCTGAACTGGCCTTTAAGTCCTCAGTGCCCATGATTAATGCCAATCTTTCAGCTATGAACAAACGGTTCACCCGAGGCTACAGAGCTGCATAAATTATTAGTAAGCAGCATCTAAATCCTCATGCTTAAACTGTAAGGTTTAAATTTTGTTAATCATTTCTCTTTTCACTACTGTTTTATTTTATTCACAAACTATATGATCTGCTTCCTTTGCTAATTTTATGACAAACAGCATTAGTACCAATACTGCTTTCCTCCCCAACCATAATCATGTTTTTCTAATAACTCTGCTTTATCCATGGTAAGGAAGTTCCTCTCACTCTTGTTTGATGTACCTATGCTACTCTTACATTACAACATAGTGACAACTCTAAAGTGAAAATGCTTGAATAACGAAGTCAGACTACACTCACTCAAGGAATACAAACAAACTCGGTTGTGCAATTTATAGTACAGTACAGTACAAGTTTAGTAAAACATTTTAAAAATATCAATGCATTATTTTGAATAATATATATACAAATAAAATACAAAATTATCAAAAGAAAAAATATAAGGTTTCATGGAAATTGCTTACTATGATGAACAAGTATCCAGGTAGTTTTTTGTCTACTCTAAATTTTTGATGGAAATCCAAGGAATAAAGATGGTCCGTTGTTTAAAGGTATCCGGATTTGGGAGAGTGCACTGTATAAGTGACTTTCATATACAATATATAAAATGCACTATCATATTTGTTATCATTAACCCAAATTCAATGAAAGAACTTAAAATTCTGAAAATTAAACCTTACAACACACTGCATTTCATGATTCACAAATTATAAACTTTGGTAAAAATATATATACATAAGCCTCTATATTTGCAAGAAAAAGAATGTAGGTAAACCATATATAATGATGTCCTAATTTGTTTTATCAACTGAGTGAAACATTTTTCTTCAACCGCAATCAAGATTATGATAATTTATATTAACATGAGGTATTACCATAGTTCTTTAAACATGCCCCTGCTTTAAGTAGTATCTTGGAGTGTGTTATCTGTAAGTTTAACCTTCTCTCCAGGCTTAAATGCAGGCATCCCCAGGTATGGGCAAGAAGCACACCTAAAGGCATCTCCAAGGTAACAGCTACCACAAGATGATTTAAAGTTTTTCTTATTTTCTTCAGCTGCCTTCATGTTCTCGGCATCTAATTCTTCTTTTAAACCACAAACGCAGTTTTTACATGCCTTACGTTGGCCTGTAGTTCCACACACTTTCAGACTTGCAGGATCAGGCAGAGTCAAGTCTTCTTCCGTAAGCAAGTCATCTGGGTCAGCAAGTTCAATGTCATCATCCAAATCAATGTTCCATGTGCCAGTTGATGGCTTTGATGCTGCCGGTTTTGCAAACGACAGTTTCATAGCAGAGCCAACTTCAAATTCAGGCTTTTTACATGTTACTTCTACAACTGGTGTAGTAAGATTCCTTTTTTGCTCATCTGTAAGATTAGCATTCTTTGGTTCTGATATGGAAGTGAAACCTGCAAGTTTCAAATTAGACTGTGTGCTACTGGTGTCTGTTGTTCTCACTGTTAAGCATCCACTGGGCTTGAGGATACGAAGAGCTTCACCCAAAATGTTGACTGGGCACAGAAATGTAAATGGGGGAAGCACTCCAGCAAGTACATGGTCAAAGGAACTTGCTTGATGGTTAGAGCCCATTAACATATCTGAGTTTTCGACTGCTACCTTTCCTTCATTTCCAACTGCTGACTGGAATAAAAATAAGAGTTAAACATTCTTTACATTACAGCATTTCCAAAATAAAAACTCTTCCATATTATGTGTATATAAAACCAGCGTTGAATGTAATGAAACACCATTTTTCTGGGTTAGGCCAGGAGGCTCCCCCTAGAGCTATCCCAGCTGATATGGATATACAGAGGTACCTCACATAACGATCGCCCCAAAAGGCAAACATTTTGGGTAACGACCGGCTCGATCGGCGACAAATCGTTCCGTATGGCGAGCGCTCATTTGAGTAACGTCAACACCACATGCTGGGGTCGCGCTGCTTCTTGCACATTCTTGGACGCCTCCGACGATGCACATAAATTATGTTGTTCTTGTTTAAAGATGCTAATGATGCTGGGATATAAAGGGGTGGCTGCTGAGATGTTGCAAAGCATTGACGTTTTTGTAGAAAAAAGAAATGAAATTTCTGAAATACAACAAATATCAAAAAGGTTCGTTCGGTGTTCGACAGGTAGGCTGCTCCATTATAACAATCTTTCTTTGTTTCAAATGTGTTCCATTTGTTTTGCATTTGTCATTTACGTCTCAATAATGGAGCAGCCTACCGTACATACACTGCACAAAACTTTATGACATTTTTCTTTCTTCAAATTTGTTCAATATTTATTTTTCATTTGTCTTATAGCAAAAGGTTTGTTTGGTGATCGGCAGGTAGACTGCTCCATGTTTCTTACATACAAAAACGAAAAAAAATAAAGAATTTTTTAATGATCACTAATTCCTGTAAATACATAATTGACCACAAGTTTATTTTGAAAAGAAACCTAAAAGGTCGTTTGAAGATTCTTAGATGGACAAAATAATGCTGTGGTGCTGTGGCTAGCGCTGTGAACATCGTGAACAGCATTGAATCACTGATATTTGAACATTGTACCTAGTCATTATCACACTCAGGCTCTTCTATAATACTATCATGGCTAAATAACACAAGTTATATGTATATTATGACATTATTAGGCGATGCTGTGGTCACACGCTGAACAGCAGTGCTGTGCGACCAAGCAACCATCTCATGACCCAGGAGCTTCATCCAGAAACAGGCGAAGGCAGGACTGAAGCCAAAGCAGAGCCTCTGGAGGGAGAGACAAGGAAGCGGTCCGAACGTCCCACACAAGACCAAACCTAAGAGGGACCTAGATGGGACTTCCTCCAGTTTACCAGGAACCCGAACCTGGCAAGTTGGGAAAGAACTAAATCCCTGGCGAGCAGACACACGAATTGACTAGGAACCCACACCTGCCAGTCGCTGAGGTAGGCCAGAACCTAAATACCTAAAAGATACAGACAGACCACCAAGACCTGGGTAAGGCGTGTGAAAATGCGAGGTGCCAGATTCAAGCTGAATGGAAGGCAACAAAAGCGGTAACCCCAACGCCCCACAATAAAACCGAGCCAGTCCCTGAAACCCGGATAAATTGGGACGTGCCAATAAGCGTTCTTGAGGTCCAGGGACACCACCCAAGCACCTCGCTCCAACAGAAGACAGACCTGGGACAGAGTAGTCATCCAAAAGGAGGGGCAATAAACCCATGGGTTCAGACGGGGACAAGTCCAGAATGAACCTGAGGTCCGTGCAGCCTCGTTTCAGAACCGGAAATAGGCGGAAAACCTAACTGAGGGACAAGGTCGTTTCGACCACGCCCAAGTAAACCCACTCCGAGATGACCCGAATGAGCGCAGAAGAGGCCTGACCTGAGAACCCTGAACCCCCCAAAGGAGGAAGGGCCACCCAACGCCACCGGAGGGGTGGCGCTGGGTGGCCTAAAGGACCCGAAAGGCCCACAAATCGTTAGACCAGGCATAAGCAAATAGAGCGAGCCTCCCCCCCTATTGCCCCATCAATGGGACGAACCGCGAAAGGGCCGACGCCCCTTATGGGAGCCCAACTTTCACGCAGAGCGATCACCACGCCGACCAGACAAAGATGGGTCCGAAAGCTGTGCTGACACCAAAACTGGCACCACTGGCCTACCACGACGGGAAGAACCTTGAGCCCTGGCATGACCCTTCCGGAAACACCCCAAACGGGCCACACAGAGAACCAACAAGTCCAACATGGGACGACAACTAGATGAAGCAGCCTGCAGATACTGCACAACTACAGACTCTGCAAACAGCAATGGGCAAAAAGGCGAAGAAAGCCTAAGAGACAGGGGCCCAACGGATTCCACAGAAGAAGCAAGCACCGCCTGCCAACACACGAGACGGGAAGCAAAAAACAGAGACACTGCATCCCGTAGGATCGGCGCAAATAGTTTTAAAATTGCAGACAATGTACGCACCACCGAGGCCAACGCACTAGACCCAGAAGCGGCCCCAAGCATCTCCACATCCTCCTCAAGCCAGTCCGAGGGCAGTTCAAGAAGAGAAAAGAACCACAAGAAGAACTGTTGACTGAAGCCAACAGGCCACAGGCGCCCAAGTCCTCAGTGACCAATGCAGCTGAAAAGGAAGGGATCTGCATGTGAAGCTGCCCCACACTGACATCCCGAGGAAGGGCAGGGGCAAACAAGCACGCATTGAGGTACTTAAATTAGCCCCCCAAGAAAACCTGAACCACCATGAGCCTCGCACCACTCAAGTATGGGGAACCGACAGAACAAATGCCACGCCTCCAATGAGAAAAAGGGGTAGTCTGCAAGCCAGGATGACTCCAGAACCTCATAACAAACCCAGTAGGGACAGGAAGTGCCATACATGAAAGAAGTAAGATCCATTATGAAGACATACTTCGGCTCGTGCAGGAGGTACCTTACCTTGAGGTTACCTTGAGGTGCTTCCGGGGCTTAGCGTCCCCGCGGCCCGGTCGTCGACCAGGCCTCCTGGTTGCTGGACTGATCAACCAGGCTGTTGGACGCGGCTGCTCGCAGCCTGACGTATGAGTCACAGCCTGGTTGATCAGGTATCCTTTGGAGGTGCTTATCCAGTTCTCTCTTGAACACTGTGAGGAGATTGCCAGTTATGCCCCTTATGTGTAGCGGAAGCGTGTTGAACAGTATCGGGCCTCTGATGTTGATAGAGTTCTCTCTCAGAGTACCTGTTACACCTCTGCTTTTCAACGGGGGTATTCTTCTGCACATCCTGCCATGTCTTCTGGTCTCATGTGATGTTATTTCTGTGTGCAGGTTTGGGACCAGCCCCTCTAATATTTTCCACGTGTAAATTATTATGTATCTCTCCCGCCTGCACTCAAGGGAGTATAGATTTAGGCTCTTTAGTCGGTCCCAATAGTTTAGATGTTTTACTGAGTGGATTCTAGCAGTAAAGGATCTCTGCATGCTCTCCAGGTCAGCAATTTCTCCAGCTTTGAAAGGGGTTGTCATTGTGCAGCAGTACTCCACTCTAGAGAGCACAAGTGTTTTGAAAAGTATCATCATCGGTATAGCATCTCTAGTGTGAAAAGTTTTTGTTATCCGACCTGTCATTTTTCTTGCAGTTGTGACGGCTACTTTATTGTGTTCTTTAAAGGTAAGGTCTTCCGACATGAGTACACCCAGATCCTTTACATTGCCTTTTCGTTCTATGTTATGATTTGCCTGAGTTTTGTACGTGGTTTCCGTTTTTATATTTTCATTTTTTCCATAGCGCATGAGCTGGAACTTATCTTCGTTAAACACCATATTATTTTCTGTAGCCCATAGAAAGACCTGATCTACATCTGACTGGAGGTTTGCCGTGTCCTCTATGTTGCCTACTCTCATGAAGATCCTAGTGTCATCTGCAAAGGATGAAACAGTGCTATAGGTTGTGTTCTTGTCTATGTCCGATATGAGGATGAGAAAAAGTACTGGAGCAAGCACTGTACCCTGGGGGACTGAGCTCTTGACAGTTGATGGGCTGGATTTTATTTTGTTGACTATTACACATTGGGTTCTGTTGGTCAGGAAACTGTAGATCCATCTGCCTATTTTTCCAGTAATTCCTTTTGAACGCATTTTATGTGCAATAACACCATGGTCACATTTATCAAAAGCTTTTGCGAAATCTGTGCAAATTACATCAGCGTTTTGTTTGTCTTCCATAGCATCTAATGCCATATCACAGTGGTCCAGCAACTGCAACAGGCAAGAGTGCCCTGTTCTGAAACCATGTTGTCCGGGGTTATGGAGATGCTGTGATTCCATGTATTTTGTGATCTTACTTCTTAGCACTCTCTCAAAAATTTTTATGATGTGCGATGTTAGTGCTACTGTATCGGTCTGTAATTTTTTGCCTCTGCCTTATTTCTTCCTTTATGAAGTGGTGCTATCTCTGCTGTTTTTAGTATATCAGGAATAACGCCAGTATCTAGGCTTTGTCTCCACAGAATGTGGAGGGCCTTCGATAGTGGTTTTTTACAGTTCTTGATGAATATGGAGTTCCAAGAATCCGGGCCTGGTGCAGAGTGCATAAGCATACTGTTTATGGCTTCTTCAAAATCCAGTGGGAATAGGGTGACGTCTGATATATGATTTGATGTTGGTATCATATCCATGAAAAATTCATTTGGGTTATCAATCTTTAGTGCGTTTAGTGGCTCGCTGAAAACAAGAGTCGTACTGCTTCCTCAGTAGCTCGCTCATTTCTTTGTTGTCATCGGTGAAAGTTCCATCTCCCTTTCGCAGAGGCCCAATACTAGATGTGGTTTTTTATCTTGATTTTGCATAGGAGAAAAAATATTTTGGATTTCTCTTGCGGGAGGTAAGCCGAAATTACCTCCCACATCACATGGGGCTGGATGCGAGAGGCCAAAAACCTCCAGAAAGACAGGACTGAAGAACCCTCGAGATCACGGAACTGAACCCGGGGAGGAGTAGACACCAAATCCAACTCGTACGAGGAGGGGGGATATATATATATATATATATATATATATATATATATATATATATATATATATATATATATATATATATATATATATAAAAATAAAATAAAAAAAAAAAAAAAAAAAAAAAAAAAAAAAAAAAGAGATCCCA